CAATTCTTGAATGACATTGATTGTGAAAACAACAATTCTTAATGAATAAGTACGAATTAGAATTGGTGAATATTTCAATTGATCGAGGCTGCACAAAGTTATTTTACTGGATAAGCACTAAGGCAGCTAGGCTAAAAAATAATGAAAATTTTCTAATTAGTCATTTTTCTTTAGCTTAAATAAAATTTGTCTCCCGTCAATAAATATGACCATTTAGTAATGCAAAAGGATTGTAGTGCCAAAATGGCAAAATGTCCTCTTTGTAAAGTTGAGACTCGAGTGTTTAAATGAACTATAGATTGTTACATCTTTGCTTAATTTGAATGTTTAGATGCTTAAAATTCGTCCACAGACAATATCTAAATGGACTTAAATTCTCTTCCATTTTTTGTTGAGTTTGACAAGAATTCCTAGATGGTTCGAAATTAGTGCAAAAAGGGAGACAAGTGTGTGCGTGTGTAAGTGGATTAGAAAATTCTCGTCAACACTGTTTAGTTTGATGAGAATTTCTAGATGAGTCAAAATTAGTGCAAAAAAGAATAGGGGAAATTCGGAAAACACTTTCAAAACTTCTTTAAATTATCCTTAAACTTTCGCAAATGTTTCTCAACTGCCATTGAATTTTAAAGACTCTTCAAATTGCTACTGAACTTACTCAAATGTTATCTCATCTATCATTTCGTCATTTACAATTTATGTTAACAGACTTGATGAATTTATTGCAATGTTATATCATCCATAATTCCATCTACGATGTCATCTAATCCTTTAACTTCTAAAATAACAAATGATGGAAATGCGGATGTGATAACATTTTAGTAAGTTCAATCACAAGTTCTTCAAAGTTCAATGGCAAGTGAAACACTTGAGAAAGTTAAATGATAACTCAAACTTTTTATATTTTCAAAAAACATTTGAAAAAATTCGATCAGCAATTATAATATTTAACCTGACATTAAACAACATTTTTAAAAGTTCAATGTCAATTCAAATATTTAGTCCCTGTTTGGTATGTAAATCTAAACCAAAGTCAACAATTCATTTTAACCATATATTTTATGAGTCTCACAGTTTTTTAACCACATATTTCATAAACTTTTATCAAAATTTACTAAAAATTTAATTTTAATCTCCACCAAACATGTGCTCAGCCTTGAGTTATTAGATTGATCTTGAAGGAAATAAAGAAAGTATGTATGTATTATGATTATGTACAAGTAGATCATGTGTTAGAAGTTAAAATGGAATTACATGCTACACAATCACCACAGACAATATGCTTCTCCCCATTCTACAGGAGCAGACTTGGCTAAGCTAAAAATTAAGTTGTACTTTTTTAAGTAAAGTTTTGTTTCTCAACACTTAAAAATACATGGAAATTTCACCCCTACATTTAGCCCTTGTTTGAACTTCATTCTTTTGAAAAAATTCATTTTTCAACAGTTTTTTGATATTATTTCAATCACATTCTTCAATAAAATAATATTACACGCAAGTTCAAAATTTTTTCTTATTTTTTAACCACACATTTCTCATCAATACACTATTCAAAAAATCATTCTTTCCGAAAAAAATAGGACTCAAACAAGGGCTTAAATTCTCAATATCAAAAATCGAGTTATAACCCTTTTTTTTCTTTTTTTCTTTCAAGAATCAGGTTATAAGTATTATTATTTTTAATTTAAAAATACATATTAAAATCGGGAAGTGATTGGTGTACAAGTAAGGATTCTGTAACCCCTACGGACGCCTCACATGAACGGGTGGGTGAGTGAATTTTTTGACATTATTTATTGTATCCGTAAAATGTTTACAGAAATTTTCCAGTACACCAAACATTTTCCATTATAATCCCCCAACCTAGCAACCTTAAAATCTCGCCCATATTCACCCATAACCCTCCACGCTACTTTACCTTCACTCTCTCATACAAGCACAATGCAGTCAGATTGGGCTCACAATCCGGCAAGTCAATTGCTGCACGCGGTGCCCCAGTAATCTGCATACAATCCTGTAGGGCGATCGTCGTTCTCGGACCGCCACTGGGTGAAGCATCACCGTCAATCCCCTTCTCCAGGATACCACCTATAAGATCTACATTTTTGGGAGTTTTAAATTCAATACAACAACCATAGATATTCAGTTTTGCAAAAATAAGATTTTCTCGTTTCTCTCTCTTTTTCTGATTTTACGGTGCCCGAGTTGGGGGTTGATTTGTGGTGTATTGAAAGTGCAGATGGCGGTGGCAAGTTTGGTGATTTTGTTGGTGGGGGTGGTGGTTGTAGTATGGTAGTGTTGGGAAGAGATTGTGGATTTTAGCAAGCAGCCATGGACCGATGGTTAATTGGAGGTGAACGTGGAGGCGGTGATGACAAATTATTTGATTGATTGGGATAATCGAGTTAATTAAATCAATTTCTACTGTTTTTTACATTAAGTTATCACTTGAGCTAAAAAAGTTATCCATTGCTCACTCATTTATTTAAATATTTACCAATTCATCATTTCGTTTAAATTTTTTGTCAAAATTAACAGAAAACTTCACGTTTGCAAACGGAAAGCTGACTTGACACATTTATACTGTTAATTTATCCACTTGAATTTAAAAAATTTAAAAATCCCAAATTACAAATACAAAATTCTTGTATTTAAATAAAATTAAAAATCCCCAAATTTTGTTTTATGTTTTATATTTTTTTTGAACAAATATCTTTCAGCAGTGATAATAAGAACGAATTTAAGAACAAGAATGTATAAGACCCGTCTGTTGCAATTGGATGTTTTTAAAAAAAATAAAAAGTAAAACAGAATTTGGGGTTTTTTAATTTTATTTAAACCCGGGGATTTTGTGTTTGTAATTTGGGGTTTTTAAATTTTATTTTATTTTTAATCCAATTGGATAAATTAACAGTATAAATGTACCAAGTTAGCTTTCTATTTGCACACGTGGAGTTTTCCTTCAATTTTGGCAAAGAATTTAAACGGAGTGATGAATAGGTAGATATTTGAATAAATGAGTGAGTAAGTAGTAACCTAAGATAATGATCAATAGGCAATGATTTAATTAACTCTGTGATCATTAGATGGGTTAATACATGACTAATAAACAATACGTGTCCAATGAAAAAGATAAGTTGTGATAAAAAATATAAAAATGCGTGATCTAAAAAATTGTTAATTTGTGATCGATAATTTGTAAATTTGTGATTGTATAATAAATTGTGACTTATAATATTTGCGATTTGTGATCAATAAATAAATTATGACATATAAACTTTTTATTTATAACCAATGAACAAATTATAACCTATAAAATTTTTGAATTGTGACCGTATAATTATTTGTGACGTATACAAATTCTGATTTGTAATCGAAAAATAATGTGATTAACTAAGTCGTTTATAACCAAATTGTATAGATTTGTAACCTTAATATATTTAATTAATAAAAGATATAATTAATTAATTAAATCATAAATAAATTTTAATAAGTGTTTGATTTTTGAAATTTGAAACCTTTGTTTTTATTTTTAAAATGGATGATACTTAACCTCTTAGTTATGAATTTTTCCCTAAAAATATAAAATACTTTTTTCAAAATAGTTTATTATTTTTTTCTTGTAAAGAGGCAACTTTCAAAATAAGCCACCATTTGATTTGACTAAAAATCATATTTTCGGTAAATTTTGAAGAAAAATATAATTGAAAAGTTGATAAAAATTATTAATCCTATAAAATGTTGTTGAAAATAAATTTGAGGAAAAATGAGTTTTAAAAAATTGAAGCCAAACAGAGGCTAAATAACTTGTCCTCAACTTTTACAAACTAAAAATATTTAGCCCTTGTTTGATCTCCATTCTTTGGTAAAAATGCATTTTTTAACAGTGTTTTGACATAATTTCAACCACACATTTTCAATAAAATAATATTAAACACAAATTTAAAACTATTCCTTATTTTTAACCACATATTTCACATCAATATACTATTCAAAAATTCATTCTATCCCCCAAAATGGAGCTCAAACAAGGGCTTATTCTACAACTCATTTAATTTTCTTATATTTGAATTTTTTAAGCGTAGCAAAACATGCTTGAACTGGCATTTTAACAACTATGCACTTCCTCACAATTTTTTTTTTTTTTTTACCAAAATCTCTTTGGAAACAAAAATAGCATTCACATCCACAAAAGATGCCAGTTAACCAGAATTAACACTTCAATATAAAACGAAAGAATTAAAATCTTATAGGTGAAATGAAAATTCAATTTAAAGAAGAAAAGTATGCAAAAGCTCTACTTACATGAGCTCAGATTTCAATAATTAACGATAGATAGCAAGAGAGGTTGCAATAAATTAGTATATAAAAAGCAATATCTGGATGGCCGGCTTAAGCCTTAGCATTCTCTGTGAAATCTGAGCAGGTCTGGCAGCTGCAGTCTGAGAAACGGCAAACTTCACATCCGAAACACACACAGGTAGTGCATCCTTTGCATGTTGGAGAGCGAGTGCAGCCCCTGTACACTCTGCGGCTTGCTCGTTCTTCATCATCGTCACACGTAATTCTGATGCATAAAAATGTATAACAGTCAATTGCAATATATCTTATATTGGCCAACAGAAATTAAGGGTGTATTTGATTGTAAACACGGAATTTGGATGAAAGGAAAATAAATTCTAAACAGTTGAATTGCCAAGAACTTATTTGCATGAAAATTATTAATTAAATGTATTTGATTAGTTTAATTTTCAACCTAAAAAATGTTATACTTATTTATCTTTTATTGGTAGGTAGATGGAAAAGAGAGAATTGCCTAGAAGATAAAATCTTACCTCTTCTAAAGAAAATATTTTCCTTGTTTTCGAGGAAAAAAATGGTCACGTAATCAAAAGTAGAAAAATAATTTCCATGGAAAAAATATCATTCAAACAATACAAAAATAGGAATTTGGGTAGAAAAAAGACATTTTCCATGAAAAATATTGGCAATCAAACGTACCCTAAGTTTAAAAGTGAAGGATAGACAAGCCACTCCTTGATTTTCACACGCTAATTATTTTGGATTTGCTTAAACCAAGTCGTAGAGGTCTGAACTAATCATCCCCACTTACATGTCACATGCTGATTATTTTGGATTTGTTCAAACCAAGTAGTGGAGGTCTGAACTAATCATCCCCACTTACATTGTATTTGCAGGAACTTTTCCTGGCATTTTTTCATAAACTTGATCTTGGAACAAACTGCTACCTAACAAAGACTTGAGCTCATGTGTCAATGATCCTTTTATGCAGCCCTAACAACATAATACAATTGTATCTCCATCAAGCTTCTAATCTCCAAATCCTTTAGTTTCCAGCTATAAGAAGGAATTAAGGAAATGAAATAAAGGAAAGATCATCTAGAAATGACATAAACTTCTAATCACCGATTTCTCACTTTTCCATCTATAGAATAAAAAAAACATGGGAAAAGGGAATATCATCTGATGTAGGACAATCCTATTTGGAATATGATTTCTTATTGTAATAAAGATTTTATCACTTTTCCTTCTTGTTTCAAGAAATGAAACCACTGATAATAGGAGATTGCATCCTTTTCCTATGCCTTTGCGGGCTAGACTTGTTTGTAATCACCACTAATATTCATTATATTCAGGTTATTCTAGATAGTATTTTTTAGCTTTTTAGCTTTTTCTTGTTTTTACATGATTAAATTTCTGAACTGCTATCTAATACTGT